TGTTTGAGAATAAAATATAACTGAATTTAAAATAATTCTAATTGCCTTGATTCTGTGAAAGAAATTTTTTAATTTTACTTAATCAGAATTGTACATTTTATCTCCTGTGACTCTCTCCTCTTATTTGGTCAAGAACTTTTCTCCTGACCATAGGTTCAAAAAGTATTTCCTTCCTACTTCTCTGTTTGATTATTATGCAACCTTTTATATATAAGTCAAACATCCATTTGGAGCTCACTTGGTTTATTCAGTGAGATGTTGCTCTAAAGCTAATTTTTCAGATCATTTTGCAGTTCTTCAGAAGATTTTGCTGAATAGTGATTCCTTCTCCCCAGTGGTTGAGGTCATGAGTTTATAGAACATTATACTGTCATGTTCCTTTGATTCTGGATCTTGTGTTTCTAATCTATCCCACTGATCAACTTTTCTATTTTTAACTAATATCGAATAGTTTTAATGATTACTCCTTTGTTCTGTAGCTTTTTATCTACAACTGCTAGTCTCCTTCCTTCCTTCTTTTTTTTCATGATTACATTTAAGATTATTGATCTTTTCATCTAGGTGAATTTTGTTATGATTTTTCTTGGTCCATAAAGTAACCCTTTGGTAGTTCGGTATTGCACTGAATAATAGTCATTTTTATGTAGCATAGATATGTCCATATGGGTTGTCTAAATATATAGATATAGCTCAGAGATGATACAGATAAAAAAGATCTGAGACCTCACTTGCCTCTGTAAAGATTAGATTGTATTAGATTTAGCATTTATTAAGCACCATGTACCAGGTACTGTGCTTGGCTAGTCCCTGCCCTCAAGGAGTTTACATCATAGTGGGGGAAGGCATATATAAAAGGAAGCTGAAAAGTATGGTATGAGGGGAAGTACCTTTGTGGAGGGGGAGGGTGGATATCAAGAAGGAAAAATAATCTGAGGGGTTAAAGGCTGACCTGGGTTAAGAATGAGCATGGCTGGAGTTTACTTTAGGAAGGAAGAGGCTACAAGTCAGTGCTTACTGCCAGCATGCTATTGGAGGGCTGGGAATGGGGAGGAACAGACAGACCTGGAGTACCACCAAAAATGGGCACTCTTTTCTCCTGCCTCCCAAAAGAGTATAGGGCTACAATTATAACTAACTTAGGCAATTCAGGTATCTGTCTAATGTAGTTATACAAAGTTGAAGACAAAAGAGGCACTGTCTCTTATTTCTTTTAAGGATATGTACCCTCTGTCTATGCATATTCTTTCTAGTTATGATATAGTTCATAAGAGTTACAAGCATCCATCATCTTCCCATGTACAGAAGTAAACAGTTTATTAAACGTATTTAATCCCTTATATTTTCTCTTTCCTGTTTACCTTTTTATGCTTCTCTTGAGTCTTATATTTGAAAATTGAATTTTCTGTTCAGCTCTGGTCTTTTCATCAGGAATGCTTGAAAGTCCTCTATTTCATTAATGTCCATTTTTTCCCCTGAAAGATCATGCTCAGTTTCACTGGGTGATTCTTGGTTGTAATCCTAGCTCCTTTGCTTTTACAGAATATCATATTCCAAGCCCTCTAATCCTTTTATGTAGAAGTTGCTAAATCCTGTGTATTTTGACTGTAGCTCCACACTACTTGAATTTGTTGCTGTTTTTGTTTTCTGATTGCTTGCAGTATTTTCTCCTTGTCCTGGGACTTCTGGAATTTGGCTATAATAGTTCTGGGAATTTTTATTTTGGAATTTCTTTCAGGAGGTGATTGGTAAATTCTTTAAATTTCAATTTTACTCTCTGGTTATGGGATATCAGGGCAGTTTTCTTTGATAATTTCATCTCTCTTGGATCTATTTTCCAGCCTAGTTGTTTTTCCAGTGGGATATTTCACATTTTCATTCTTTTCATTTTGTTTGATTCTTTTTTTTTCTATTATGGTAATTTTTATTTTTTTTTGTTTTCAACATTTACTTCCACAAGATTTTGAGTTCCAAATTTTCACCCCATCTCACCCCTCCCATCACCCCAAGATGGCATGCATTCTGAATACCCCTTCCCCTAGTCTGCCTTCCCTTCTATCTCTCCCCCTGCTTCTCTTATCCCCTTCCCCTTCAATTTTCCTGTAGGGCAGGATGGATTTCTGTACCCCATTTCCTGTATTTCTTATTTCCCAGTTGCATGTGAAAACATTTTTTTAAACATGTGTTTTTAAAACTTTGGGTTCCAGATTTTCTCCCTTCCTTCCTCCCAACCCACCCTCATTGATAAGGCAAGCAACTAAATATAGGTTATGTATGTGCAGTTATGCATAACACTTCCATAGTAGACATGCTGTGAAAAACTAACTCTATTTCCTTTAATCCTATCCCACCCCCCCATTTATTCTATTCTTTCTTTTGACCCTGACCCTCCTCAGAAGTACTTGCTTCTGATTACCCCCTTTCCCAATCTGCCCTCCTCTCTATCATCCCCCTACTCCCTTGTCCCCTTCCCCCTTCCATTTTCCTGTAGGGTAAGACAGATTTCCATACCCAATCAAGTATGTATGTTATTCGCTCCTTAAGTCAAATTCTATGAGAATAAGATTCACTCATTCCATCTCACCTTCCCCTGTTTCCCTTCCACTGTAAGAGCTTTTTCTTTTCTGTTTTTTTTGTGAGATAATTTACCCCGTTCTACCTCTCTTTCTCCTTCTCCTAGTACAATCCTCTCTCACCCCTTAATTTTATTCTCCAGATATGACCCCTTCATTTTCAACTCACCCTGTGCCCTCTATCTATCTATCTATCTATCTATCTATCTATCTATCTATCTATCT